TGTCTGCTAGTTAATGCTTTCCAAAGTGAGGCTTCTACCTCTCACAGAGACTAGGAGACAGGGGACTCTATCTTCCTTGATTATTACATCTTTATAGGAATGGTCCCGGGTCTTTGCGTAAAACATTTCTGAGTTGTGAAGTTGGCAAAAGGCTGGGCAAAGATTTATATCTCAAAGAGGCAGAGAAAAAAAATTACAATAAAGAAAGTAAAAACTCTAAGAAAAGGGAGGTCAGAGGCCAATTAGACACAGAGGAAACGTGTCTAAAATTCAGTCAGTTTGAGGGTAATGTTAAGGCCATCTTTCTCAGTATCTGTTAAAGACTAGCCAGGCACTTACCTCTGTTCACAAGGAAAACACGGACAATTAACTTCTCAGGGAGGAAAAACATAGGCACCGGAGCTTCCTGAAACATGGCTGATCTTTAGTACAACATGGCTTATTGCTTCAGCAGCCCTCTGTTCTGGCTTCTCTTTCAATCCTTCTCCCCTGGGTCCTATGATGAAGTCGGTAACAAGAAATAAATAAATAGATCATTAAAATAACTGTGAGATAATTAGCGCTTAGGGCAATTTCCAAATTGTTATCATTGTAATGGTGTGAGATGTAAGCCAAGAAGAAAGGGGCTTGGTCTGGTTCAGTGAAATGATTATGGAGCAGGATGAGGATGGGGCAGTGTTAGGGAAGCAGAGGCCTGACCCTGAGAAGAATCAAGAACCCAGTGGAAATCTTAAACTATTTCAAACTAAAAAAATAAAAATAAACAAATTTCAAAAAAAACTGCATATGGAATAAAAAGAGACATGAATATGAAATTTAAAAAATCATAAGCAGTATTTAAACAAGTATTGCCAAACATTTGAGTAGGGGGGGAAAAAGAATTCAGTGGAACAGGAAGCCACAATAACACTGACAAGGATTTGAGCCAAAGAGATTCTCTCAGAAGTAGAGATGAAAAAGAGCTAAAATAGAATTTACTGTGATGTCAATGGATGGGAGCCAAAAGTTATCTTCACAATGGTCCTTAAAATACTTAGAAGAATAGTCTTTATGAGGATTTACACAGTTCCTTAAATAGTACCCAAATCACTACACTATTACCCTTACTATACCCAGAAATCTGTTACACATAAGCCATATTCATCAAAGATTCATCATAGAGTTGTTGAGAATCGATCATGATCTTTGATACTGCTACTGTTTTATGCAGTTAAGAATCTCAATAAAAAGATAAAATATAGAACTTGAGATACTCAGATAAACTATTCTGCTTATGACACAGTGTTTGATTGTCTTCGGAACATTAAATTGCTCGTATTTTAAGCCACAATGAAAATAACAGGATATGCGTAATGCTAAACAGCATGATATCCCTAATAAATCTTTGCTTTTGGGAGAAGTAATTACTAATGTTCTTCTGAACTTTTGGTACCTGCTATTAACCCAGTAGGAAATATTAAATTGTAACTTATCCTGAAGTCAACCACTCATAGAAATTAATGGATTCCTTCTTCTAACAGAACTAATAACATTCTTTTTTCCCCTTTTTTTGAGATAGAGGGGCTGAACATTGTATATAAATAGTACGTGTTTTATTTCAGTGAAGTATGTGCTTTGGGCTGTATTATTTCATTTAAACCAATGCAAAGTAAAACAAAAATAGTAGGTGGTAGGTACGTATACTACTTTCATTTTAATTTTTGTTATTTTTACTTGTATTTAATGTTGACGAATAATGATAAGGACCAGCAAACAGGTATTTGTAAGCCTTTCAGTTAGAGCACTCACAAATAAATATACAAGAATTTGTGTCTGTTTTAGAATAATACCCCTGGATACTCATTGCACCTTCTCTTGAGCATAATTTTTAGTTAATGACTGAATATTTTAGAGAAGTATGATTATATCATTGTACTTTTTGGGGGTAATTTTAGATATATATTTATATCATTTTCTGACTGGTTACTTAGGAAGAAACTGAGAAGGTATAATGTGGAGAAAACTTCACTTTGAATTTTAGAAAATAACAAATGATTTTTATTTAAGAAAAACAAGTGCTTCTAAAATAGCAGAGTTTTGTGTGCCCATGTGTGAACTTGTATGAATAACTGAATTTTTGCATGCCAAATGATCATGTAATGTTCCAAGGAATGTTGTTACATGACTAATAACATTAATTTGTAAAGAAGCTAACACTGAATACATGCTCTGATAATCAGAAATTAATTTGTAGTGTGGGAATATAGGTGGTGATTGATGGATAAATGAGGAATTGACTATTGTTATGGGAATAAACTAATGGATCAAGGTCCAGAGATACTGCAGGTTCATCATTTGAAACTGTAATGGAAAATTTAGGATTGAAAAGGATCTTACATTATATGAAACAAATAGACCCAAGGGAATTGTTATTTCTCTCAATATCTTGTTTTTCCACTTCATTATTTGTACAGAGGGATACACAGGGGTGACAGAAATCTTTCTCAAGGAGTTTTGTATAGTTTGTGCCAATTTCTGATATATGTACAATAATATTTAAAATACAGTATGTATCACATACTCAAATAGGAAATTTTTTTAAAAAAATATATACTATGTCATAAAAAGAAAAAAATCTTACGTGGAAATGTCAATTTCTTCCCTTTTGTTTTATCCTTATTTAATCAATATTGTAAATTATGTTTCACAGTAACTCTGGGAAAATATCCCTATGATTCATTGACACTGTAAGGCAATAATAAATTTGCTTAATGTAGTATAAGACATCCTGTGAGAGCTTAAGAAATCCTAGTTGACTTGCTGACTAAAATAAAATATACCCTTTCTCACTGAACATATATTGAAAACATTCTAATTGAAATCATTCTAAAAATGTTTTGAATTGGTGAATCCCACTTTACAGGCAGGAACCTTCATCAGAGATTTTTTAATAGTTAACTTAAGTAACCTAAAAAATATATTAAAAAACTATACTACATGGTTTCAATAGATGTAGACTTTAATATTTTTATTTACTTGTGTGATTTTTATCATGCATTTTAAATTATTCAAAATTCATGTTGAAAATAAGATGATAAAAAGGCAACACTAAAATAAAATCACCAAATGAAAGTAAAAGCATATATGCAAAGCCATATATTAAAGCATACATAGTGAGTAATAAATAAATATTAGCCTTTTAAAAAATTAAATCAACTTTATTGTGGTATAATTTATGTTTTAAAAGCAATATTAAATTAGTTTTGACAAATGCATATACCATGCTATTCACCACCACAATCAAGATAGAAAGCATTTTTATAACCTCCAAAATTAGGACAGCTGTGCTTTCTCAGACTGTACATTAATTTCCTTTTCTAGAATCATATAAATGGAATTGAATAGTACATGGTTTATTTGACACAATAGTAAGTTTAGTAAATGCTTTTGAATATATCAATAGTTCACCACTTTCTATTGCTGAAATATATTTCAGTGAATTTATCATTGTGTTCAATGTGTTCATCATTTCAACTATTTATTGGCTACTCTGAATAATGGTGCTATGGACTTTCATGTGAGTCTTTGTGGACATAGTTATTTTCATTTCTTTTGGATAAATATGTATGAGTAGAATCACTGGGTCATATGGTAAGTGTGCATTTTACTTTTTGCTTTCTTTTTTTGCATTTTTAAATTCACCTATGACCTGAGTTTTATTATAGCATTTTTCTATAGCCCTATCCTATCTAATAAAAAGATAATATTCAAATTGGCTGTCACTCTGTCACAAAGATGGTGGTGTGTGGGAAACTGTTTATTGCCTTCACTATCTGATAAGCATAGACAGAGAACTCCCAAAAAACCCCCGAAGGCTGGGTGCCTTTGAAGCCCTAGCAAAGCTCGGAGCTAGGTGCCACCTCTGTTTGTCCAGACAGTGGTAGCTGAAACTACTCCCCCATTTATTATTATGTAAATCCTTGCTGATGGGCTAGTCTGCTTGTTACTAGGGGGTCACCTGCCTAAGGGCTATGCTATGGGTGCATCCCAGATCAATAAAAGCTTGGTGAGGCCTGAGCACAGAGGAAGTCCTTTGGGACTTGCCGCCTGGTCCCTCAATATTGCAAAATTATCTCGTGTCTTTTTCTCTCATTTGTTGTGCGGCTCCTCTTTCAGATACCGAACCCCACTCCACGCGGGATGTGGAAGGAAACACTCAACAGTGGTGTCCATAGCCACAAGATGGCAGTGGCCAGTCCTCTCAGCCCTGCCAGAGTCCCCCAGGCCCCAGGGGGTGGGGTGGGTGGCCGCTGAGAGCGGTCAGTGTGAGTAGCCTGGTGGAATGCTTGCTTCGTCGCTGCAGCAACAAGGCAAGCATTCCACCCTGGCCACGGAGGGCCTCTGGGCAGTGGGCACAGAGCGGCGAGGGTGGGGCAGGCAGGCTTTCTGCACCTGGCCTTGGAGGAGGGCCTCTGGCCAGGCCAGGTGTGGAATGCTTGTGTCGAGACTCTGACAGCAGGGAGGAGGAAGTCCTACCCACACAGAATCAGCCAGCCTCAGCCATTGGTCAGACAGCTCTCAGTGGCCTGACAGCCAGGACTCTCATTCACCTGAATCTCAGACTGTGACAGCAGAGAGGTGGGGCTATGTCTAAAAAGCAGCTATTGATACAATGTAGCTCTGCAGCTGAAAGAAGCTGGCATTATCAATAGAAAATGTCTGAAGACCAATGTGTGTCTGATCTTGAAAGATCAGGCAGGCAAGCAGAGGCAGTTAGGGGCAATCAGGCAGGCAGGCAGGTGAGTGGTTAGGAGCCAGTGGTCCCAGATTGTGAGAGGGGTGTCCGACTGCCGGTTTAACATCCCACGAGGGGTTCCCGATTGAAGTGGGTGCAGGCTGGGCTGAGGGAACACCCCTCTGTGCATGAATTTCTTGTACCAGGACTCTAATTAAACATAATTTAGCATCAATAGCTAGGGAATAAATGCTGTATATAAACAGCAGGTAGACTCATTTTAAACACTTAAAATTTTGTGTCTATGAGATATTAGGAAGAATAATAGAGTATGGGCTCTTTGGTAATGCTGGCAGCTGGGGAGAATGTCTTCCTCATAACTTGAAATGGAAAATTGCATTCCTATTGCTCTTATCACTTAGAATGCACCGATAGGTCTTCTCAAGCTGCTGGAACAATGTGCACTCAGATACTTTGTCAGGGGGGAATTGCATTTACCCAACTTTAATGATTTGAGAGTAGCTTAGAAGTGTATGACATTTAATATAGGTGAATGAGTTCTTTACCCTGAAAACTCAAATTTGCCACTGAGAAACCTAACATTTCATTATTACTGTATCTGCTCTGAAACAAAGAGGTTACCAGTAGAACACTAAAGCTGATCAACTACACCACTGAAATGAATATGGTAGAAGAGCCAAGAATAGCAGAGGTGAGTTTTCTCACCACTATAAGTTTTCTCCAAATGGTGGGCGGTGGACTAAACGGTTAATACAGAATACTCATACCAACACACACGGTGCACAAAAGAGGCAACACACTCAATTTGTATTATCGGTTTAGAATTCTACACAAAACATTTTAGAGATTAAGTTTTAAGCATCTAACTGTTAAAAATACTGCCTTTACCCCAGTTGATGTGGCTCAGTGGTTGGGCATTGACCTATGAACCAAGAGGTCATGGTTTGAGTCCCGGTCAGGGCAGATGCCCAGGTTGCAGGCTTGATTCCCAGTGTGGGGCGTGCAAGAGGCAGCCAATCAATGATTCTGTTTCATCATTGATGTTTCTATCCCTTTCTTCCTCTCCCTTCCTCTCTGAAGTCAATAAAAATATATATTAAAAAATAATGCCTTTAAATTAAAAAGAAAAAAATGTCAACTATTCAGGTCAGGAAGTTGAATTTAAACACTATATTTGCAATCTTGATTCCAATGGATATAGGAACTAACATTTTTAAAATAAATCATGCTCCCAGCACAAGTCAATTCTAAGTTGTAAATGTTGCTCTCTATCAAGTATATAGTTGATTTTAGTTAATAATGATTAAGCTAAATAATTTTATATATATGGTAGCTTGATGAAAAATTTATATTTTATTTAAAGATCTGTTCAAATTTTAAGATGCCAGTAGTTCACCTTTGTTTATGTAGTAATAATAATGGGTCAAAAATCATGGATTAATTGAAACTTCATAAACGATACCCTATAGAATATAATTCAAAATATTAAAGCATGACCTGACAGTATTAACAGAAAGACTCCCAGCAAAAACAGTTAATTAGCACTGAATCATGATATTACTATCCTTGTGAGTGATTCTTTAGCTGTGAACTATCAATAGGCAATATGTAAAGGATGAATACAGTGTGATAGCCTTGACATATTTTCAGCTAAAAGATGGAATTGCTCTTATTTTTATCATTAATGGATCAGTGGAAACATGTTTCCAGCTACCTTATAAAATATAGTCATTAATTCATTATTGATTAATGTTATATTTAAAGCCTAGGTTGTATCATTCAACAGGGAGTTTTGGTATATTATTACATAGAATTATTTTCATTTAATTTTTAAAATTACCTATTGGTTAATTTGAATGAATGAGAATTTTCATGTGTGAAAATATTTAGTGAAGCATATTTTAAGGTTTTATCTCTCTGAATTATTTTTCATAGAGACCAGTATCTTATACATCAGAGTTTCTCCAGAGGAAAGCTTTCTGTTAGTTCTCAATCTTCTATGAGAGATAGTGGTGATTACAATACTCCTGTCACAGCATTTATGTCGCCATTCACAGTGATGGGTGTACATTAACCAAGTTGTCAATTCCTATACACATAAAGTTTATTTTAATATGTATTTGTTTGAACTATTTCTTCTAGAGCAAGATATAACATCATCCAAATATTGCTCTATAAAATATCTGTCAAGAATAATATGAAGTCGCTTGTATATCAATCATAGTATTAATTTGAAATAGCAATTTTCTATGCAAATGAAGTAAACTCAGACCATGATTGGGTTCTTTGTACCATGATGTAGACACCTCTTCAATACCTTCTTCTAATTCTGAAGCAGAGTATGTAGAAAGCTTCTGGTGGGAGCAGAAAGTAGAGGTATTCATTGACACCATGGTGACCAGCTTCAGTCCACAGTGTCTGATTCCCTACTGATAGTTCTTCCCAGTAGTCAGCCTCTCTGTTTCTCTATTTCTAAACTGTTAGTGATGATTATATTGACTACTAGAGGCCCAGTGAACTAAATTCATGCATGGGCAGGGTCCCTAGGCCTGGCCAGGCAATCAGGGCCCATCAGGGCTTTCTGGCTGATGGCCGTGGCCTTCCTTCCCCAGCAGCCGCTGCCAGCTCGGACCTTCCTTCATTCCACACTGCCCCCTAGTGGTCAGTGCACATCATAGCAAGTGATCGCACTTCCAGTCTTCCAGTTGAACTCTTGAGGGGACACTTTGCATATTAGCCTTTTATATATATAGACTAGGGGCCTGGTGCACAAAATTTGTGCATGGGCGGGGGGTCCCTCAGCCTGGCCTGTGCCCTCTCACAGTCCGGGAGTCCTTAGTGCTGCTACGCTTGCCAGCCATGAGCCCAGCGTCTGGCTGAGCGGTGCTCCTCCTGTGGGAGCATACTGACCACCAGGTGCAGCTCCTGTATTGAGCATCTGCCCCCTGGTGGTCAGTACATGTCATAGCAAGTGGTTGAGTGGCCTTAGCATATTAGGCTTTTATTATATAGAATAGACTAGAGGCTCAATGCATGAAATTCATACACAAAGGGTGGTCCCTCAGCCCAGCCTGCACCCTCTCCAATCGGGGATCCCTATCAGAATCCAGGACCTCTGGCTCCTAAGTGCTCACCTGCCTGCCAGCCAATCGCCCCTAACCCCTCTGCCTGCTTTCCTGATCACCCATAACCACTCTGCCTGCCAGCCTGATGCCCCTAACTGCTCTCCCGCCTGCCTGATCTCCCCAAACCACCTCTGCCCGCATGCCTGCCTGATCACCCATAACTGCCTCTGCCTGCCTGATTGCCCCTAACCACCTCTGCCTGCCTAATCGCCCCTAACTGCTCCTTCTGCCTGCCTTATCGCCCCTAACTGCTCCCCTGTTGGCCTGATTGCCTCTAACTGCTCTCCCCTACTGGCCTGATACCCCCTAACTGCCTCTGCCTCGGCCCCCATCACTGTGGCTTTGTCCAGAAGGATGTCCAGGAGACAACCGGTCTATCCAGTCTAATTAGCTTATTACACTTTTATTAGTATAGATATGGCAGTGCTCCTGTCTGAGTCTACATTTTAAGAGGATTGCTGAATATTCCAAATAATTACCAATATTCAATTCAAGACAGAGGTATGGGAACAGTACACCTAACATAGCCTCAGGGTGAGTTTCTGACTTTATAGTGTCTTTGTACTGCAATTGAAAACAAAGTATAACATTAACATTATTATTTTTATCTAGACTATTTTCCTAATTAGCAATTTAAGTATATTAATTTTTCAACATAACCACTGGAAATGACTTTCTCCTTTCTTGGTATGGATCATGGAATATCAGTTACAAATTAGCATGGAGCTTAATCAGAACAGATCAACGCTTAGAAGTTACAAAATATTAAAAGGTTGTCTGAAGTCATAGAGTTCAAATATGACATTGAAACCTTGATTTGTGTCATCACAAAAGCATTATTCTTTTCACCTTCCTATTCTGTCTTAAATTGTATAAATGTAATTTGTTTCAACTTCATATGATACCATTTCTTTATGTAAACAAGTCTATTTTTACTTTGAAAGAAAAATTTTTTTCTATTCATATTTTTAATTATATCCCTTTATGCTTTGGGAATCTATATGATGGTTTTCTTATACTACCATAAAACAACAACATCAGTGCCTAAAAATTTTATATCTTCAGTAACTTTTTAAAGATTGTGTGGATACATAAACAAATATGTTTAATATTTACTTAAAAAAAGACACACTAATATAGGCATTCAGTAATCTTATGTTTTGACTCATTTCTAATATTATAGTGTTGGCAGAAAGTATAATATTAATATAACATTATCCATGCTCTGTGTCAACTATTTTTGTTTTGAAAATATTAAATTTATTCTTTTTTAAATTAATTTTCAACTGAGGATATTTTTGATTCATTTTTAGAGAGAGTGGAAGGGAGGGAGAGAGACAGAGATACAGAAACATTGATATGAGAAAGACACATCAATTGGTTGCCTTTGTCTCTCACCCCGATCAGGGACAGGGATGAGCCTGCAACTGAGGTACACGCCCTTGACCAGAATTGAACCCAGGTCTCTTCAGTCCTCCGGCCAACGCTCTATCCACTGAGAAAAACTGGCTAGGGCTAAATTAAAATTCTTATTCAGTCAAGTTTCAGTACAGGGTTAAATATAAAACAGGTAGGCTTAGGACAGTGATGGCGAACCTATGACATGCGTGTCAGAGGTGACTCGCGAACTCATTTTTTTTGGTTGATTTTTCTTTGTTAAATGGCATTTAAATATATAAAATAAATATCAAAAATATAAGTTTTTGTTTTACTATGGTTGCAAATATCAAAAAATTTCTATATGTGACATAGCACCAGAGTTAAGTTAGGATTTTTCAAAATGCTGACACGCCGAGCTCAAAAGGTTTGCCATCACTGGCTTAGGAAGTGCCTCTATTAATTATATTTATTGCAATTTTTGTCTTCCAATGAGAATGAAGCTTACATTGTCAGAAAATTTTAAAAAAGGAGGTAAGATTGTCATGAACCAAAGAATTTCTTGTCAAAGAGTTTCATTTAACCTCTACATGTGACCTGCTTTCACTGGTGAGAATCAAATTTCTGTGAGGGGAAACTATAAAAATCAATTCTGATGTTTATTTATGTTGGCTTAAGTGAAAAATGCCAGGTATTATAGTTGTTCCAAAATGAACAAGTTTGAAATGTTTCTTTCTATATCTAGAATGTAAAAACAGTGTTCAGTGATCAATCCTA